GCAGTTTGCTTTCATGCACTCAAATACCTTCAATTTAAAATCTTGACAAGATCGTGAACGCAATAACAGCAATCATCATGTTATGAAAGCAAACTCTTTTTCCTCCCGCTTTTTTTTTTCTCGAATCCTTTTTCAGTGTTTGTATGCACACAGGTTAACATGTTTTAGACACCTGCATTGCAAAATCTGCATACAGTGTATTCCTGCTGTACTTTTACCGTAATCGTTCTAAAATGTATTATAATTAAGAGTGGATGATATACTGTGACTTCATTTTTTACTGTTATTAGTCATCTTTTGTATATTTATAGATTAACTGTAATAATGTGATGTGCCAGCACTTAGTTTCCCAGCATGCATTGCATCGTGAATAAATTATGACTATTCATTGATTTAGCTAAATATATGACCACTTTTCTGTTTAGTTTTACAGTTTTTAATGTGCACACAATGACGGCAATAAATATTTGAATGTTCTGTTCACTTTTCCAACTGTACCTTGATATAAATTACATTTAAATATTAAATTCAAGCATTTATGGTACTCATTAGTCTTAGTATGTTTTGTTTGTTTTAACCCCTCACCTAAAAAAGATATTGACACCAAAGTAAAAATAATAATAATAATAATAATGCATGGCCATAGTATGCCTTAAGAATTACCATTGTTTTGTTGGAATATATTGTTTTATATATTTTTTTATTAGTTGTTGTTTTGTTTTTACTAAAAGTTTCTTGTTTTGAAATATTTTTGTTGTCTATAGTCTATTGTGCTATAGAAGGTTAGACTTTATTTTTAAGGTGCCTTTGTTACAGTGTAATATTACATAAGTACAGCGTAATGTTAATTAACAACATTAGAATATGATTAGGTTTTGGTTCAGGGTAAGTTGCTTTTAAGTATGCATACTTTATTGTTATAACCATAGTAAGTACATGTAAACAAGGACACTGAAATTGTTTATTTGTTGTTTATTATTTTTTAAAGTTTCATTGTTACAGTGTTATTATATATTTAAGGACTAAGTAATAATTATTAACAACATCTACTTAATATAGAGTTAGACTAAGATTAGGTTTTGGTTTAGGGTTAATGTAGTCTTATTACTACGTTAAGTATTATGCAACATATGTAACAAGGACACTGTAAAATAAAGTGTTACCAAAGAAAATGTCCTAGCCTGCTCCGATTTCACAGTATGATTCTGAACAGACTATTTTATCTTGTGATTTTTACAGCACCATTTTCAGGAAGACAAAAACACACACACATAACACTTCACATTAGCCGCTTGTCACTTCCTCAATAGCTGAGGTTAAATAAAGGGCTTAATTCACTTCTATTTATGTTATTAATTAGAAAATATAAAGACAGGGAGTGAAAGGGGGATAATGCAGCTGGGATGAGCTCATCAACACTGCAGTGAATGCTTTATTTATTAGTTGCGGTGTTCTAATGTGCCCTAATGACATTGATATTCATTACACCTTGCCCCAAGAGCACTTACTCTCACATGTACGTGCGTGTGTGTGTGTGTGTGTGTGTGTTATGCTCTCTAAGGAGCTCCGGGACCCGACTACACGTAAAACCCTGCTTCATTATTCCTCAATTAATTTAGTGGCATGTTTAAAACCTCAGCGTGTGTTTGCACCAATGTCATTATGCCGATGTAATCCCGAGACTTCAGTGTCCTGATGCCTGTGATTGTGGGCGGTCTTTATTGTCAACGGCATTGCTTTTCAACTGATTTTTCTTCATGAACCACATTTTACAATGGACATCAAGTGGCGACCCAACAATGAACTGAACTGAATTTTGGATCGAGTCATATATGTTAAAAGTAAACATGTATTTCATGTAGTTTAGGACAGATTTTCTTTCACCTTGCATAATTGTGTTTTTATAGTGTTTGAGGATGAGGGCATGTTAAATAACCGTGTCTGTATTTGTGTGATTTGTCTGTTTAAAATGAATTTGTGGTAAACAAATTTGAATGGGTTTTAAATTCTCTATGATGTCAACAATAAACATATAGGAAGTGTTTTTTCTTCCCTTGATTAGCATATTTAAAGGCATAATGTACCCCCACGTCATTTGAACAAATAGATGTACAATTTGTACAAACAGATGTACAATAATAATACAAATTAAAATTAATTGAAATATTTACATATTTACAATATTTACAATACACATTTGTATATATAATTTCATGTTATATATATATATATATATATATATATATATATATATATATATATATATACGTCGCTCCAAACCTGTGCGAATTTCTATCTTTTCTTTCTCTGCAGAACATAAAATATATTTTAAAGAATGTTGGTTGTAATATTTTTTTTAATCCTTACAATGGACCAAACCAATTATTTACCAACATTGTTTAAAAAAAAAAAAAAAAAAAAAAAAAAAAAATCTGCATAATAAATAAATAAAATGCATACAGGTTTGGAACAACATGAGGGTGAGTAAATGATGGTTCTTTAAAATAATAAAATACTTAAAAATAAACACAAAAATATTTACAAATATAAATAAATAATTAAAATCACAAAATAAATTGTACAACTGTTCGCAATTTTTTAAATAATACTGTAAAAAAAATGGATGGATGGATGGATGGATGGATGGAATATTTTTTGTTCTCATCCGTCCAACATTTTGGTGGTGTGTTCTTATCTTGTAGATATGGCCATTTCAATGATTTAAGGCAGTTATAGGCCACATTATCCACTACTGGCCACTGTTGCATTATGGGTAAGTCAGGTACAGCATGGCAGCTAATAGGAGGATCAGATCATTTCTACGAAGGCTGTCATTAAGCGCTTGCTGTAAGTCATAGTAAACAGGTTCCCAAAGTTGGAGGGAAGGTAAGTGTCATTAGTAACAGATTAGTTGTGTTTTGTGGTAATAAAAAGACGGATTTTCAATAGTTTGTCCCACTAAAATGGCTTCTAGTGGAAAACACAGCAGGACCAATTACATCCATTCCATAGGGAACAGAGATTGAGGTCAGGCTTGTTACTGTATGTAGATGGTGAAGAGACAGGTGGATGCTGTTTGTTACTGTTATGACTGGTTGAGAAAAAGCACTATTTAGTGCTTAAATATTCAAGGCAATGCAATTGAAAAAGCATATGTGTGTGCATGTGCTTCCTCAGAGGCTAATTTTTCGACGGATAGAATGTCCAGGTTCATTTCCGTATACAGCATGCTTCACATTATCTAAATGACCAATGAAAAGTAGTGAAATCTAACACAGTCTCATCCCAAAAAGTCATATAACTGACGTCTTGGGACGTTTTTTGACCGTACGTCAATATTCGCCTTTTTAGGGACCCCTTAAACGTCGGTAGATGGCGATCCCGGGCCGTCATACAACTGACGCTTTACCTTTAACGTCAGTAAGGTGACGGGTTAGGTTTAGGGTTAAGTTTAGGTCTGGGGTAGAGTTAGGATCCCATAACCTCATCTACCGACGTTTAAGGGGGCCCTAAAAAGGCGAATATTGACGTATGGTCAAAAGACGTCCCAAAACGTCAGTTATATGACGTCTTGGGATGAGACCGGGTTGTGAAATCATGTCATCTGATTTCCACGTATATCCATTTGCTGTCAAAGCTGTCAATCACGCAGCGTATCTCCCCGCCCTGTGGAGGCATCTCGCTGGTCTCGTGAGGTTTCATCTTAAGCGTCTCTGAGACCCCATTTACACCTGGTATTAAACTGCGATCTGTATCCAGATAAGTTCTCCGGATAATAAAAAACGCATGTTAATGCAAGGTGTAAATAAGTTGTGATCGGATCAGCCTGACCACATCTGACCACCCAACTCGATTTTGGGTCAAATGTGGATTATGTCATGACACTGGCAAGAATATGGTTACATTTAAAGATGTTGTACCAAGCATGAAAACGCTACATTCAGCTGCTTTTGAAATTACGTGTTTTTTTCACTTCCTGAAAGTAAACGTTTTGGACATACGTGAGTTTCATCGGGCAGCGACGACAATATACTTAATGAATGATTCGATATTTTACGACATTTACTAACTAAATTCATATGCTTTATGAGGTTCAATTTATTTTCACATTCGCATTCACTAACTAACTAACTAACTAAATATAATACGCTTTAAGAATGTTTCAATTTATGTTCACATTAACTAACTAAATATCTAACTAACTAACTAACTAACTAAATATAACATTCTTTGTGAATGTTTCAATTTATTTTGAGATGCACATGATAATGAATGAATGAAATGCATCATTATATGCTTTGTGAACATGTCAATTAATTTTGAAATGAATAAATAAATAAACAATTTATTTAACAATAAATATAAATGGATTCTGTTGTACTTCAAGTTATTTCTGAATGCAAGGACACATAAACACCCCTACAGATGACGTTTTGTGAATATCTAGATCTAGAAGTTTGTAGACTTGTTCGTAGACACACAAGGCTATGTAGAAGTCAGATCTCGCTGTTCTGCTCTCCGATACCTAGCTCTATGGGACATCTGGTGTCACTTCGCCCCTCAGCTGTGCCGCTACGGTCTCATGGGCTCATGGCCTGGCACAAAACGCCATTGTGTGGCCGGTAAGGGACAGGTGGTACATCACAAGAGGACAGTGCAACAAGACTCATAACAAGAGAGGCAATAGCCTGTCCCCTCTATACACTGCCCACACAATGACCGACAGGCCCCTTGGCACTGGTCCCATCCCCAAACATCTGTCTGACTACAAGTTCTATTTATCTATCTATCTATACAAAACACATGGGAAACATTACAAAAAAGATATCAGCGAACTGTTTGAGGCACTGTGGTTTTGCACATGTGTGATTGTTTGTGTGTGTAGATCCTGCACAGTATGCCTGTGATTTTAAAGCCGACCCCCACAGACTGAACAAACCCCCGGGCGTGAGTGTGTGTTTGTCTGTTTACACAAATGCACCCGTATGAGGGCCTCATACCTCTCCTCTTGGAATCCTTTCTGACGCTGGGTCTGGCAGCAGGCTGGAGCTCGGCCTCTGTTGACATATTAAATCCTTATTCCTTTACCGTGCAGCTGGGTGGCTGTGACTGGCTCATCTAGAGGGGCTTTCCACTGACTCGGGAACAGTCCACCGCTGCCTCTAGCCTCGACACGGCATCTCATTCACTCCCAGCAAGGGCTGCAACGGAAGAGATAAAATACATTTTCAATTCATTTAACCTAAGTGTCGTGGCATAACTTGGTGGATCTATAGCATTGGCGAATTTAACACACACACAAATACCATAAAAATGCAATTAATGCATACAATGACTTGAAATCTATGATGAGCATATATATTTTATATAAATATATATTAGTATTTTGTTTCCTTTATCTTGGGATCGCTTACAGTATTTGTCCATAACCCTTCAATCATGGTATAAAATCATGGTATAATTGTAATGTGATACCTATGATACATATGATAATAGGTTAACACAAAATGTAATGTTGATTCAAATTTTAAATAAATTTGGTATTAGATTGTGGGTGTAAATGAATAGGCATGGACTTGGTGGTGGAAACCCAATGGACAGGACAATGATGACACCAGAATAAAAATATGTATGATTCTGAAGCTGAAAATACAGAATTATTTTACTGTCACTGACTAGATACAGTAATAATGTAGGCCACTTTTTACTGGTAACATAAGACATTTGCCATTATCTAATCGACCAATCACATGGCAGTTGCTTCAATGCATTTATGGGTGTGGTCCTGGTCAAGACAATCTCCTGAACTCCAAACTGAATGTCAGAATGAGAAAGAGAGGTGATTTAAGTAATTCTGAGCGTGGCATGGTTGTTGGTGCCAGACGGGCCGGTCTGAGTATTTCAAAATCTGCTCAGTTACTGGGATTTTCACGCACAACCATTTCTAGGGTTTACAAAGAATGGTGTGAAAAGGGGAAAACATCCAGTATGCGGCAGTCCTGTGGGCGAAAATGCATTGTTGATGCTGGAGGTCAGAGGAGAATGGGCCGACTGATTCAAGATGATAGAAGAGCAACTTTGACTGAAATAACCACTCATTTCAACCGAGGTATGCAGCAAAGCATTTGTGAAGCCACAACAAGCACTACCTTGAGGCGGATGGGCTACAACAGCAGAAGACCCCACCGGGTACAATTCATCTCCACTACAAATAGGAAACAGAGGCTACAATTTGCAAGAGCTCACCAAAATTGGACAGTTGAAGACTGGAAAAATGTTGCCTGGTCTGATGAGTCTCAATTTCTGTTGAGACATTCAGATGGTAGAGGCAGAATTTGGCGCAAACAGAATGAGAACATGGATCCATCATGCCTTGTAACAACTGTGCAGGCTGGTGGTGGTGTAATGGTGTGGGTGATGTTTTCTTGGCACACTTTAGGCCCCTTAGTGCCAATCGGGCAATCATTTAAATGCCATGGCCTACACAAGCATTGTTTCTGACCAAGTCCATCCCTTTATGGCCACCATGTCCCCATCCTCTGATGGCTACTTCCAGCAGGATAATGCACCAAGTCACAAAGCTCGAATCATTTCAAATTGGTTTCTTGAACATGACAATGAGTTCACTGTACTAAAATGGCCCCCACAGTCACCAGATCTCAACCCAATAGAGCATCTTTGGGATGTGGAGGAATGGGAGCTTCGTGCCCTGGATGTGCATCCCACAAATCTCCATCAACTGCATGATGCTATCCTATCAATATGGGCCAACATTTCTAAAGAATGCTTTCAGCACCTTGTTGAATCAATGCCACATAGAATTAAGGCAGTTCTGAAGGTGAAAGGGGGTCAAACAGTATTAGTATGGTGTTCCTAATAATCCCTTAGGTGAGTGTAGTACACTGGGATTAAACAAAACAACATGGAAATATCACACACATCATCTTTAACCACTAAATCCAGCGATAAACAAAGATGTTACTAATATTTTACTCACAAACGAACATATCCATGTCTGAAATAAACTAAAATGCAAATCTTTAGAAGGCCATTTAGATGACAACTTGCAGAAAATGTTAAATGTAAATACTGTTGATATTAATAACATTCCACAGTGTGACATCGCTCTCTCTGAAGGAGGTTTTGGCTTGTTTTCTCGCAGTGTTTCCTTTCTCCACAGGCAGGAGGAAGCACAAAATTGTTTCATCAGCTCCCTCTGCCTTCTCTTTCGCCTCTCACCTTGTCATTGCATGAGCAAATAATGCCATCTTTTTTCCTGTGCGCCTCCACCATCGCCCCCTTCACTTCCTCTTGGGTGGTTGGAAGCACCTTTCATGTGTTAATTGGCCTCAGTGGCACTGTAGCATCACAACAGGTGCCAGAGCCATCAGCAGATCAAACCAGCTCCACCCACAACAGTCATCAGATGAAGAAGAGACCGCAGGGACCGTCACTAACTGCTCAGGCAGGCCGACCGAACAACATGGCATCACTTAGAAATCGATACACCTCGAGATGTATCGACTGGGATGAGTCGATGCCTCTAAGGCATAACACAACAGATCAACCTGAGTGTAGGACATGAGTCTATGGCCTTCTTTGATATAAAAATAAAAAAGCAATAAAAAAAATCTCAATTTTAAGTGATAATATAACCAAAAATTAAATTTCCTGTCGTTACAAACCTGTATGGCTCTGTTTGTTTTTTTGTTTGTTTTTTTTGTTCATATGGGGAAGGGTTATATAGATAACTAAAACTCAAACCATAAAAAAAAAAAATATTGTTGAAATTACATTTATACATACATTTATAACACTAAACCCATAAAAAATGTAGGCTACTTGAAAAAAAAAAAAAATCTCACAACCAGAACGTTGTTTCTTCCCAGTGATTGGTCAGCCAACAGATCATGGTGTGCTGCAATGGCTGCCATACACACTTTGTGCATGGACAAGGAGCGGCCCGCGTCCAACAGCTCCAGTTGGAATAAGAGGACCACAAATATTACACATGGTTTTTCGAGCACCAGCTGGAGAAAACCCCCGCCCATTTCGAAGCATAGCTAGGCGTCCTAGCTTCAGACATAGTGTTCAACACCTTCACAGGAAGGTCCCCGGATACCCCTTTAGGGGCCACACATGTAGGGCCCATAGATTGGCCCGCGGATGCCACATCATTTCCTTCGCCTGAGGTCCTTCCTCATCAGGACAGGCCATGAAGCAGCGTCCGATAACCAGCTCCGGAAACCATCCAGAGAGGAGCCACCAGAAGGACTGGGCACTCACTCTCTCTGACCCTCTCTGACTCTCTCTACAAATTGTATGGGTTGGTGTACGCCTGTTTCACCACTTATTTACCCCTTATTTACACTGCACACGTCTCCGGCGCATTTCCGCTGCGACACGGCTACCCGAGCTGATCGCGCCCACTCTAGTCAATGCATGTGTGAACCAGCCACGACGCGCTGCTAAAGATAGGTGCAGTCTGCTGTGCAGGCGCTGAATTAAAGTGACAGAACATGGTTCGTGGCACATGGTTTCAATGTTGAAACTTTTCTTATATTATTTTATAAAAGTCGCTGACAATAAAAAATAGTGATAAGAAATAAAAATAGAGAATAAATGTGTTTGTGGTACAGACGTAGATCAGTTGCGCACTGCAATCGCAGCATATGTGGAAGCACAATAGTGCTTGCTGCTCCTGCACCGCAGGCATTAGTAAAAGTAAATGGACTCTTTTCTTTTTTCACGAAGCTCTTTTGAACCTGTCAAATGGGGTTGCTATTGTACACTTAATTGTAATTATTGCTGCTCTGAGCTTTCTTATGTTGAACGTTTTATCGAAGCATTAGACTACTCTTGCCTCGGAGAAAACAACACTGAAATAGCGACATTTATGCATATAAATTACTACTTATGGGCTTAAATTACAACCTCTGGGCTGCTTTTCTAGATCCTTTTGTGAACTTCGTTTTACACTTGTATGCTGCACAGCGGGTAATCTTAAAAGTGCTGTCGGAGCTACCAATCTCCGTTTAACGGCCGTTGAAGCCCTCTGCTGGTAGGGAATCGTAAGATGGCCGCTCGAACACTTCCGGTGGCTTCACTGCCTGGTGGCAGTTTAGAACGTCATAAGCTATCCAGTCATTATAGATCAGTGGCTCTGACGTGTAATGACGTGGAGTGATCTCATTGGTCGCACGTCAGAGGCTCCCGCGCCATTGGATGTGCAGTTGCTGCAGCACAGCCTATGAACTGGCTGTGTAGCTGCAAATGCATTTTACATATATGTTTTAGTAAATCGAGAAAAATGAGTTTTCCCACTGCGTATAGCTACGCAATACGACCGTTTGAAAGGGAACTGTAATAGTATATGAATGAAAAAAAAAAGTCCTAAATGTGTATGGACAAAAACAGTTGAAACTGTTGAAACAACAAATGTAATATAAAAATGCAATAATATAAATATATGTATAAAATAAAAATGTAAAAATATATAATATCAAAATATTTGGAACGTCATGGCGGTGAGTGAATGACTACTCAATTGTCATTTTTGGGGGAACTATCCCTTTAAAGATATGTGGTAGTATGCAACACAATCTTGCAGTGTAGATATTGAGTATTCTGGATGTGATTTAGAAGCTCATTTCCAATCCCACATCTGAAATGTAAAGCTTTAATACCAGTAAATCAGTGGAATTAGTCTGCCCCACAAAAAAACTAAATGTATTGCGACGTTAAAGCCCAAACACATCAGTTCTGAGCGCAGTAGCTTTAAGAGGCTAGTCTGCAAAAAGCCTCTAAAGTCCCAGACTCTGCTCCGCAGGCCGAGGTAGTGGCCACTATAAACCGCCGCTGAGGGGATTTAAACAGTCATTTCATTTCCAGCTCCAGCCACCGCCTGGCCACGCGCCGCACATTGTGTGCAGAACATTTAATTCCGAATAGAGAGAGCATGTCGCAGAGCAGCAGAGATTCACACGGCGCTCTTTATCTGAGAGAAACACACAGAGAGGAGCTGTGAGTCAGTCCAATTACTGCCATTATCTCTCCGAGAGAGAGGGAGAGAGCGAGTTCCCCACTAAACATTTTCCCATTCTAGCCTTTTTTTCTTTCCATTTTCATTAGCCTCTCTCTTTACCTCCGCACATCTGGAATCGCATAATCCTTGATACTATTCAGACCAGCTGGCTCACTG